TTTGCTGTCTTCCACCACTTTCATTTACTCCCCCAAAAACTAAACATCAACATGCCTAATAAATAATATAAAAATTAGATGATTTTTTTAAGCGTGTAACTTTAAATTTTTAAATATAAAAATGAGTTTGCTTGTAGCAACATTAAATTGATTAAATATTACGATGCTGGATCCAAGAACGAAGCCTACATTAATAATATTTTGTTTTCCAAAAGAAGGTTTTTTAGATCGTTATTATTTTAGATTATTCATGGAAACACTTTTTTTCTTCTAATCGTTTTCAGTTACGCATTATTTTAAGGCTAGTTAAACCCAAAAATAATTCCTTTGTAATCAACCATACTTTTAAATATTATGTAAAAAGAACTAGAAAAGTTGTAGCCAAGGACGAAGCGAAAGAAGAATAATTTCTGCATGGGATTATACTTTCGGGTTGACTATTTCCGATCATCTTTCGTGGGGGGGAGTGAAAATAAAACAATCATTTATTATTTATAATAATGATTTTTTTCAAACAGACTTGTTTCATCTTGTTTATATGTGATCATTATCATCATTCTAATTTTCATATAAAGATTAGTGATTCCTCGATGTCTTTTTATTGTAAAATATGATTCTCATATTTACCTTTAAGCCAACGTGTGAACACAGATCAGCAGCGTCACTTAACCAGTTATAATTATTAATGGTTCAAAAGTTCAAAAACCGGTTAAACCACCAACATTATAAATATAAAGAACAAACCAGTGATCGGGCGTTTGCTATGAACGAAACTAATACGAGTAATATTACATAATAGCAACAATAAATACAATGACAATGACATCACATTTGGACGAGAAACGGCAATAATAATAATAATAAAAGAACGATGGTGTTTCATCTGGTGAAAAGAGTTAGTAGCCTTAAGAAAAATAGCATGATTCTGATACACAAATATATTACTATCAGGATATATATACTGTAATTGCCATTATAATCGACATATAAACTGCAAATTTTTAAAAATTTTACCATCCTTAATACATACATTATTGATTGGTAGTAAAACGTTGTGTTTAAGTTTTTTTTCCCTCAAAAAAAAAAAAAAAAAATTTTTTTTTAACTTTAATTGTAAAATATTTAAATAATAATAATTTAAATAATATTCCTAATGCTTGTTCAATTGCATATATGCGGAAAGAATGTGCGACAATTTAAAAAAGGTATTAGTAGGTATATATTAATATGATAGTCTTCTATTTTAAAATTTTTAATTAATCTATACTATTTATATCATATTAGTTTAATATATCAAATATTAATTAACAGGATATTAATATTAAAAATTAAATTTATATACCACAAGTTAATACTAACCATCCTTGACTTTTACAAACTAACTGTTTAATCTTTTAAAATTAATTAATTTTAATAAGATTTGATTAACATATTTGTTGTTTCTATAAATAGACTATGTATATATTGATTTGATTGTATTTTTTGAAGACAAAGTAGGGGTGATGATTTTGTAAAACTGTATCACATTTTTTGTTACACAAATTAATTCCTTCGAGGTTCAATGTAATAGGTTAACAGTACAGTATTTTCTTGTCCAAATACAACTCAAAAGAAACGATGTCAGCACCTCTATTCTTTCCCAACCCCAAAATTTAGGACTTTGGCTATCAGCCTTAATTTCAAGTAAAACTCACTGATACAATTCATGATCATATTTTAATTCGGGTATTTTGAGGATTGAGTAATCGCGCCACTTTCTCTTCCCCATCCTGTTGATATCTAATGACAATTAACGACTGAATGTAATTCGTCTTTTTTAAATTTTTTAAAGTTTTCCTTTTTTGCACTAATTCATGTAAATTCTTCGGATCCAATATTTTTATATCAATATTAGCTACTGTTAAGCATTCGTTATATGCCCAGCGAGCAACTTTAAATTAGAACTTTTCGATGGTGGGTTTTTTAAAAGAAGATCAAGTCAATGATGAAATTACACCTTCTTTTTCCATATGCCATTCTGGTAAAAGGGGGATATTGTATGGTTCAAATCATAAAGTATTGGTTCAGTTGAACCAACTGCAACAATGTATGTCCTTATAAAGTTGATTTTGATAATGAATTCACGGTCGACGGAGGAAGATTGTATGAATTTTTAAAATTCTGTTTGTTTTTAAAGAATAAATTTTCTTTTAATAGAATAAAAAGTACAAGTGAATTTGTTTTACGTCAAAAATTAAACTTTGGTAAAGATTTACATCAATGACCAATAAATCAAATTAAAAGACATGATTTCTAAAAATATTTTGTAATAATCAACAATGTTTTTTAACGGCTCATGTAGTCAATTGGTATATGGGCAATAACTTGAATGCATGTTATTGATATTCTATTTCACCTTTTCTTCCTCTCGATTTTCTTT